CAGCCTGAAAGTCAACATCAAAAAACTAAGATCATGGCCACTGGTCCCATCACCTCCTGGGAAATTGAAGGGGAAGATATGGAGGCAGTGACAGATTTTACTTTCTTGGGCTCCATGATCACTGCAGATGGTGACAGCAGCCATGAAATTAAAAGACACCTTCTTCTTGGGAGGAAAGCAATGACAAACCTCGACAGCATCTTAAAAAGCAGAGACATCACCTTGCCAACAAAAGTCCGAATAGTCAAAGCTATGGTTTTTCCTGTCGTGATGTATAGAAGTGAGAGCTGGACCATAAAGAAAGCTGACCGCTGAAGAATTGATGCCTTTGAATTGTGGTGCTGGAGGAGGCTCTTGAGAGTCCCCTGGACTGCAAGGAGAACTAATCTATCAATTCTAAAGGAAATCAACCCTGAGTGCTCACTGGAAGGACAGATCCTGAAGCTGAGGCTCCAGTACTTTGGCCATCTCATGAGAAGAGAAGACTCCTTGGAAAAGACCCTGATGTTGGGAAAGTGTGAAGGCAAGAGGAGAAGGGGACGACAGAGGATGAGATGGCTGGACAGTGTCATGGAAGCAACCAACATGAACTTGACCCAACTCCGGGAGGCAGTGGAAGATAGGAGGGCCTGGCGTGCTCTGTTCCATGGGGTCACAAAGAGTCGGACACGACTAAACGACTAAACAACAACAACAACATGAAATAAAACAATAATGAAAAATATGTCCATAAGTGTTAAGGAAAATTGTTACAAAGCAGGGTGTAGATGGTATTTAACACTTGTTAAGTTGAATATATTAAACAAAAATGTACCATGTTTGTGTTGTAGATGTAAAAAAAGAAAAGGGGACATATTTACATATGTGGTGGTCTTGTGAAATAAGGAAGAAGGAATGGTTAATGATTTTCAAGGAGATTAGAGAAATAACGTTTGTGGATGTACAAATAGGCTAATATTTGCAAACTAGAAAATAATAGCCAATTCAGTATGGAGGAATGGTATAAAGAAATGTAGAATATGGGAATTAAATTAACCTTTGAAACTAAGATTAGAAGAGGAATATCGAAATGTAATAATTTTAAAGAAACATGGAATTTATTTTTGGTTACTGTATGTGTTTCAGAAAAAGAAGAGGTATACAGTGGGAGAAGAATCAATGCATTTTGAAGAAAATGGAGGTGGTATGGAATATAAGGATAAGGAAAATGACACTAATTCTGAAGGGAGGGTGGCACAGGGTTGAGATGTGTGGTTTTGTTTGAAGTTGATTTATTGTAGTGTTCTGTTCTGATTTACCAAGAGGGTGTTTCCCACAGTTGGGAAAGAAAAAGAAAGATGCTGATGAAAGTCTTCCTTTTCCCAATTGCATTGCAGATTGGCACTAAAAAAAATAGCCACAAAAAACCCTCACCAAAATCTGGCTTCTTTCCAGAAGGTGTGTCTGGAGAAGCAAACAAGGCATGGAAATGTGCTATTGTGGAGTAACAGCATTCTTAAGACATGTAGGTGTGTCTTTTGCTGTATAAATATGCACAGTGTTTCAGTAGTTGGGGACAGACAGACATCACCTGGAGTTTTATGTTTGGATACTATCAAAAGACAGTGAGAGGTATGTGTTGTAGCTCTCTTGTACTTCTTGTCTTCAGCAGAAATCTTTCAGGTCTAAAAGACTACATTTCCTGCTTGCTTGCTGCCAACTACACATTACCAGCAATTGTTATGTTTCTTTATACCGATAAATTTTAAGCGAACAATCAATAAAGTTGTTTTCAGCTAAGAGCAGGAGAGCAATGCTGGGAAAAGTTGCTTAACTTTTATCTCCTTTTCTCCTTTTTCCACTAAAAAAGCAAGTGGGGAAGCAGCTTGGATAGGATGAACCAGAGGGACAACTGCAGGGTTAACCAGCTACTCCTTATAACTGCAAGCCCCAAGCTTGCTTGTCACAAATGGAGAGAAGAATCTGCAAGAGTGAATAATGTGAACTTTAGCCTTAGGTAGTAAGGCTGTTAGCACTGCACTCTGGCAGCAGTCCTGTACATAGTAGGCTGATTAAATCTCATTAACTGCTCTGGGTTGTGGAGTGCTGACTTGTATATATTTACTCAGAAGCAATCCCACTGAGTAATAGCACTGCAATGGCATCCTTCCTTCAATCTTTTACTCTGGAATAGTTCCTCTGAAGAATTTAGGCTGAAGATTGCAATGTTTGATTTTACTTCTCAGCTATATGGAAAAGAGGAGGAAGATAACTGTGGCCTCTACAAGAGATTCAGCTCTTGAATGAGAGGTATTTGGCAATAGAGGGATACTTATTCATTAATAAATTTTGCCTTTTGCCAGCATGAATGCCTTAGCTTACTCAGTCAGAAATTACCTGTTGAAGGGAAGAGGCACAGTAGCAACTGAGGAAGGAAATTACGCCAAGAGGTGACACCTTTGCTTAATTCCACTATAGTTGCAGATCATGTAATCGTTGTCAGCTCTTATCTTTAACCAGAGACACTTCAACCTGTTCAACCCAGAATATCTTTGCTGAAAGAAAAGGCCTTTTACACTAATTATATGAATTAGGAAAGTGTCACAAATTCCAAATGGGTTTTCATATCACTTAACTGTGCAGCTGCATTTTAAAAGGAGCCTGTCAATTTTTCTCTCTATGTGTTTAATACATGTATAGTTTAATTATATATGCACTTATAAGGACTTATTCTCCAAGTAAAAAACAGGATTGCTGCCTATCTTTAAGATTTCACTATATTTTTCTTTATTTTTAGTTGTTATTTTTCTTTTGTTTTTCCTTGATATACTTGCACAGACTAATACAGCTACCTCTTCTAAAAAAACTGCCTTTTGCTGTTATTTGGATGTCTTTTTTGGAGGAGTTCTACCATAATTTCATTATACGAGTAGTGAATTGCAAACCACTGATCAGCTGCCAACTACATTTTAAGGCAGAGGAATTTCACATGCTGATGATTTTTAAGAATAGGCAAAAGCTGCTGGACTGAAAAGGCAAAGGGAGTATCTCAGGGCTCATTTGTTTGTTTGTTTGTTCATTTAAAATATTTCAACCCGCCTCTCTCTTTAAAAAGGACTCAAGGCGGCTTACAACAATCAAAAGGTAGTATTTAAGTTAGAAACTATGAGTATACAATACCAAAAGGATTAATGAATACAAACCCAAAAAACCCATAAGGAACACCAAAATACATGTAATGCAGTGAGGTACAACAATACATTTTAAAAACCCCACTGATCTTGGCTAGATAGCCAGATTGGAGCAGACTGGATCAAGCTAAACAGGGTTTAGCTTGATCCAGTCTGCTCCAATCTGGCCATCTAGCCAAGACCAGTGGGGTTTTAAAAATGGATTGTTGTGTCTATGTTTGCATAAAGGTGCAGTATGCCATTTGGCGTGATCCACAAGTAGATGGAAGGATCAGGTGGTTTCAAGTCAAGTAAGCATATCACATCTTTAAAGCAAATGGGTTAAAAAAAGGAAAGAAAAGAAGAAGAAAAACCCCTCTCCTTTTCCCCATGCTGTCTCCTCCTCCTTCTAGAATGAGGTTTCATCTCTCTCCCAAGAGGTGGCATTGCCCTAGTAGGCTTAAAAAACCCACACACAACCTTTGCTTCACGGAGGACAAAGCTTTCAATTACTCAATGTTATAAAGTGGTTCAAGCTGCCTTCTTAAGCCTTATAATGATCTTGGGAAATCGAAGGTAATCTGCTTCGGTTGATCCCAATGACCACACTTTCTGGAACCCAACCAAAACTGAATGATCCTACCCACACCTAAAAAAATTAGCCTCTGAAGCAAAAAAGAGGTGGGTGGGAATGGTTTGAAAATGGACTGGTTTGCACTGGCACATACATCATGTGGTCACTGTGAAAACAAGCAAAGCAGCCCACTCCCAGAATGGATCAAATAAAGCAAATGGGACAAATCTCCATTTCATGGCACTCTCAGTTTGATGTGTGTTCAGACATAGTAGAGTCTGGACTGGGACTACTATCTGTTGAAATATCTTTACTATTTAAACAAAGATACAATTTCTTGTACAATTTTCTGTGAAATAGATTTAATAAAACATTTAATGCACAAGCTGTACAGAAGCAGCTGTGCAGCATGTCTGTTGCAGCATGTTGACAAAACTAAAGAGAGAGGGGAAAGGGGCAAAGTATTGCATCACCTTAAAGTCTAGTTTATTTGTATGTGCGAAGGCTTTCATGGCTGGGATCTACTGGTTGTTGTGGGTTTTTCGGGCTCTTAGGCCGTGTTCTGAAGGTTGTTCTTCCTAACATTTCACCAGTCTCTGTAGCCGGCATCTTCAGAGTGCTTATCTTGTGAATTTCTAAAAGTCTTTGCTAAAAACAATTGTGACTAAATCCTGTCAATCAATGATAGAAGCAGTGGAAATGAATTTCATTCTCCTCCCCTCCCCTTCTTCCCTGCTGAAAAACTAACTCTGAGGACTCTCTAGCCCTCCATAGCTGGCTTAGAGGAAGACAGATCCTGCTATGCAAGACAATGGTGATTGGTTTTCAGATTTTTGCTGCCAGTAGATCATAGGTTACTTGATATTTGTATGTTCAAAGCCGAAAAGACAGACAGACAAAAATCAGTTTTGATAAATTACTTTTATGTTTCCAAAACAGGCTTCAAAAGAATCAAGAACCATGGAAGTCAGACATTTTGCCCTTCTGTGTGCCCTTTTTATGTTCTCTCAACTGCTGCAAGCTGAATGTGAAAGACAGAAAGAGAGGAAAAAAGAAAGGGCAAATGCTGGAAAAGATGGAAGGCTACAGTCTGCATCTAATAATCAGAATGGAAAAAGCAAGAAAACTCCAGGACAGAAAAGTTCGCTTAAAGGCAAATTTATCACCAAGGAGAAGTTTGTGTGTACTTGGATGGTAAATGAAGCCCAAACAGCTATGTTAAAAATTGATTGCAAAAAAGAAGCGAAAGCATTCTCTTGTGAATTTTCGGGCAATCCTTCCACTTGTCCACAATATCCAGAAAACAGGAAAGCTTTCTGGAAACAAATCACTAGGTCTCTGAAAAATAAGAAGATGATGTGTCAGGACTCAAAGAGTATCTTAAAATCTAGACTCTGTAATAAAGGACCTCCATCTGCTCACCTTCGATTGATAACACAGAAAGCAGAACATGCCAAACAAGAGAAGCCAGCTTCCCATAAAAAGGAGGTCTCTCTGACACCAGTGACTCCTGTTACAACTGAAAACCAACCAGGGAAAGCATCTAGCGAATGTGTTGAGGATACTGATTATATTGATCAGAGCAAGGTGGCTGAAGAATACTGTTCAGAGTCATGGCTATCTCTTTGCAAGTTCTTCATTTCAATGATACAAGATAAAAAGTGCCAATAGAAATACAGTGATGTTGACAATGTTGCTTGAGTTATGATAGGCAATGCTGTAAGTCAATCAGTGTACCAATAAACCATTCTAGATTGCTCACCAGTACATCTGGGTCGAATAATAGTTTTACTGGAGGATTACTCTGATGGGATAGGAGGGCATCAGATGACAGACCTCAAAAGAATAGATTTGACCAAAGGCTTGCCAGCTGCTGATTTGTACATTAAATTTGTGCCTATATGGGAAAGTGAGCAATTGACATTGGTATTTTTCCTTACAATATATCCTTTTGCAGGTCATCAAAGATGAATTATACAGAGATCAATTGATTTATAGTAGCACAGTTTGCAAATGTTACCTTTGAATGTTACAAACCCATTTGTAAAAATGTACATATTAAGTTTTGTGGCACATTTCTCTAATTTCTCAGCAACTTAAATGTTTCTACTCAAAGCCATGATTTAAGTGCTATGCACTTTCCCCTCATTTTTTACTTCAGAATTTCCTTTTAAAAAATAAAGGCATATTTCTTTTTTAAAAGCTTGCTTTCCATGTGTGCTAAAGACTTCCTACTTGAAAATTATGCATGTTACTTATAATAATTTATAATCTTAGAACTGCAGAGTTGGAAGTGGAACGGGGGATCATCGAGCCCAACCCCTGTCAAGGAGGTGCATGGGAAACCAAACTCCCAGCCTTTGGCTCCGAAGCCAGAGACCTAAGCCACTAGCTATCTAGCACAAGTTCAAGTTCAAGTTCAAGTTTATTGTATTAGCTAAAAGCTGTCACAATTGTTTAAAATACAAATATAATCAAATAAAATTAGAATAAAATCACAGACATATAAAATAATAAGAGACCATTCATATCTGGGAGTCTCCCACACAATTGATCGCAATGGCTCTCAGGAAATTAGCACGAATGTTTCTGGCCGCTTTTGCAAACAGCGCTGTTCTGTATGTAATATATGGGTCACAATCCAAAAGTAACCTGACCACCTTTGTCTGAGGGCTTTCCTCCTGTAGAGCAGCCAAAATGTTACCCAGGAATTTTTCTTTGGGGTTTTGATAGAGCTGACAGTTAAGCAAATAGTGGACAACATACTCTATCACACCTGCTCCACAAATACACAGATGCTTGGGGACATTCATGTACCTGCCGTCTAAGACAGCGGTTGGCATGGTTTGGTAATGGAGTTCTGTGAATGTGCTTCTCAAGGAGGGAAAAGTAAGTGTAAGTAAGTATTGCACCCTTGAGTGGTTTGTTTTCAGCAGATGGTACCAGTGAGAGAAATTTAAAGAGTGGATTAAGGATAAGTCCTGGTCATTGTCCAATTTGTAAAGCCAGTCCCTCAACATTCTTTTAACCCCAGAAAAAACAAAAATATCTGTAGAAACTATATTATTTAGATTTTAGTAGGGTTTGAACTGAAGTCCAGACGCCACTCTTCCATTGCTCTACCATACAATGTTTAGGTAGACGGTGGTCAGGCATATCCATCACCCTCTTATAGTAAGAGAATATAGCTAGAGTTGCCCTGGCTTTAATGGACACCATACCTGTCTCTGTTCTAAGAAAAGCTGCTGGGGTCCCCTGGGGTACCGCAAGGATGTGCCTCAAAAATTTATTCTGTCCCACTTCAAGATGGTGTAGGTTGTTCTGATTCATACCCCAGATCTCAATTCCATAAAGCATTTGAGAGATGACCCTCCCTGAAAATACTTTTCAAGCTGGGGTTACGAGTTTACCACCTTTGAGATGGGAAAATTTGACCAGAGCATGGCTAGATTTCTGAACAGATATTTTTGTGCTCTGTATCTGGGATTTCCAGCAGTTTTTCTCATCAAAATGCACTCCTAGGTACTTGAAGGTCTGGACTTGTTCTATTTTATTTTTGCCTATAGTCCAGCTAAATTTGTGGGGATGCTTTCCAAAAATCATCACTTTAGATTTTGTGTAATTTATTTTTAGTTGCTCTAGGTGGCTAAACTCTTGGAGTTTATTTAGGCTTCGTTTCAGTCCCTTTTTGTTCATGGATAATAATACAATGTCATCAGCATATATAAGGCTTGCAATCTTTTAATTCCCAATTGCGGGGGGGGGGGATTATCTGGATGGTTTAGAGCTATCTAGCAGTTCTATTTTTCTATAAGGTTCCATCCCAGCATTTGTTTTTGTCATACTCAAAATTACTTCTAGCATAATCCTGTTTACTTGAAACAAAAACAAACAAAACGTAAATCCCACTGTGTTGAATGTCCTTGTGCTTCAGCCTATGATTAATTCCCAATTGCGGGGGGGGGGGATTATCTGGATGGTTTAGAGCTATCTAGCAGTTCTATTTTTCTATAAGGTTCCATCCCAGCATTTGTTTTTGTCATACTCAAAATTACTTCTAGCATAATCCTGTTTACTTGAAACAAAAACAAACAAAACGTAAATCCCACTGTGTTGAATGTCCTTGTGCTTCAGCCTATGAAATGAAATCTAGAATAAGACAAGACTCTGTTGTTATCAGTTCTGTAAAAATTCTGTGAGGCAAACCTGATAGACCAGAAGTGGCAACATGGCAGGTAGTGGGGTGAAGAGAAAGTATATAATTCACTCTCATTTTCATTAGTTTTAATTAGTTTAAATTAATGAAATTATTTTTAAAATTTGTCTCCTCTTTGAAGAGCTTAGATTTAACAGTAGTGGGGTTTTCACAGTTTCAACAAATTTTCTTCCCAAAATGTACACCATTATCTGCAAACCAGAGAAACAATTGATAAAGTCTCAATTTTAGTGGGGGATAGTGGAGGTAGGCAGGATTCAGTAAGGCCCAAAGGCTTGTTTTGATCTTGAATAAATTCAGAGTTGGAAAAAAGCATCCATTCTTTTTTTATTTTTTATATATATACTTTATACTAATATTATCAATATAAGACAGTAAAAGAATGGCTGCCCATGACATCCACATTTATATAAACCTTCTCATTTATTTTTAAAAAATCATTAATAGTCAATAATAATTGTTCATATTAAGTTTTGAGTTATACTTTCTTTTTTGCCTAAAATGGGACACGGTGTTGTGGTCGAGGGAAAATGGCGGCAGCATACAGAAGCTGCAGCCGTTCGTCTCCTAAACTCTAAGGAGTTAAAGGAGTTCAAAGGAGTTTCAAACAGTTTCAAACAGTTTATCTTCTCTCTAAAGCCTCAGGACTGCTTTCTCGCCACTTGTTTCTCCTGAGTGTTATCTGCTCTTCCAATTACTGGATTCCTTGGATTCCTGGTTCCCTCCCTGCTTGCTTCCCTCATCTGCTCTTGGATGTTTTTCTCCAGGAAACAAGGTGAGGAGGAAAGGATTGTTGAATATTGAATATTGACTAACTCAAGGCTCGGGGAACCTGCTTTAATTTGCGAACCTATTGACCCTGCAGTGTTGCCCTTGAGGCTACATTTAGGAATAAGGAATCCCGCAGGAAGCCATCCAGATACTATGGGGGGGGGTCTCTAAACGCCCCAGGGACACATGTGGATTACTCCCACCCCCCAAGCAGTCAAAAATAGGAGATTTTTATTCCACCCTGGTTTCAACCGTAACAGTTTTGAGGTTTTGGCTGATAACGATAACAATGACATTGACAGTCCTAATGAACTGCCCTCATTAATGCAAGAGGCAGCTGGCTCCAATAGACTAATTAACAACTGTGCTAGTGTTGATCAACCCAAGGACAATGCACATCTGACAAATCTCTCTGATATCAATTCTGATGTGGCTGACAACACCAAAGACTCTAACTGCATGTCAGTTCACCTCTGCTCCTTAGTAGCAAGAACCCTAGAGCTCATTTGGAACAACTTAGCCACTATGCATACCAAGTTGGATCATCTAATACACCTGTATAAGAAACATGGGACTAATGCAGACTGGGGAAAATCTTGCCTAAAATGGAATAAACACATAAGGTCTGAAACACAGACCTGGTGTCAACTGCAGACTCATACATGCATGTGCTCTTGCTTCCTAATTCAATGTGCAATATTAGACAAGAAAAAAGTTATTTTATATACACAGTGTCATGACCCAGTTTCATCTGAGGGAGAACTTGGTCGGTCGGACAGAGAGTAATTGGAAATCTGAGTACCCCTATGCATCTAGGTGAGTCCTGGTGACCTCAGCCAGGGCATACAACAAACTTCTTCTTACAAGTCTGCCCTAAAAAGATACTTGCTGACCCTTAAGAAAGCTCAGCAGGAAGTTACACATGAGCTTTGTAGTTCTAAAATCTACCTGGTTCATTTAGGTAGGACTCAGTAGCTTAATGTGGCCTTGCTTGTCCCTCAGGTTATAGCTAAGACAGCTTCACTGTTCAAGAGACCAAAAGATTTTATAATTGATCTTTTTTATTGAAAAAAATATAGATTTACAGAATAAAGTCAGTCTGATGCAAAAGCATAGCAATTAAGCATTTTCAAGGCTTGTTACAAATTACAATTAAGGCAAATAATTCCCTTTTAGTTAGAATAGCTCTAAAAATCTCTAAAGGTGTCCTTAGGGTAGGCAGAAGGCTTAAAGCCCCCCTTCTCTTCTTCCTTCACTCCCTACATCTTCCCTAGTCCTTTCCCTGCATGGAGCAGCAGGCAAAAAAGACCTAGAAAAATCTGATTCCATCCAAAAAGGAAAAATAAGAACAAGATGAACACTGCACATGGCAAAAGTTCCTTTTTCTATCTTCTTGGCTCCTCCTGTCTTCTTGGTCTCCCACGCTGTCATCCAATCACGGCATAAGGTGCTAGAAGCAGTCCCCTCCTTCTCTTCTCATGAGAAACAGGTGTTTTTCTCCCTCCATTGTTTTCTCCACCATAACAAGTGTCTGGTCTTCTTATCTTGTATTGGCTTGTACTGGCCTAAAGGAAAAACATTCCCACAGCCCTCTGGAAATACATTCCCATCATACAAAATTATTCATACATAGAACCAATATGGAATCCATTTTACATTGTTCACACCTACATATCCCATCTTCAGTACATGATTTAAACCACGTAATCTGATCCATGACACATAGTACAATATAGTATACAATTCAGTCTTGAGCCCTGTTAATCTATGTTCAATTTGGCCAAAATGGAATCCAACCATTACAACAGACTGCCATCTCAAGTGTGTTCTGGTGATCAGATGACCCTAAAAAGTAGATATGTATCACACTCAAGCTAGTCACCTGACCAAAATAAATACATACATACATACACACTAATATCCAAATAATCAGACAATGGTTATATATGGTCTGACTCCACTCACCCAGGTATTCACTCAGTACTTCAAGGTAAGGAGGATTATGGAGGGTTTCATACCTGGACCTTGCTTCAGAAACAAGGTCTGGTTTCTCTGATTTTGTTCTTTGGTCCTGCCTTTTGGTTTGCCCTTTGGTCCTGACTATTACTTATCGGGTCTCAATTTCCACTAGACACCAGGCTTGAATCTTCTGCTACTTCAGTCTTAGCCACTCCTCCATCTATTTTAATAGTCCAGCTCCTCCA